ACCTCCTCTGCCTGCCTGCCGCACCCACCCCACAGCCAGAGTCTGCCTCCTGCCTCCACCCACAGGGCTTCCTGCCCCTCCTGTGAGGGCGTCTCCCCCACGGCCCCTCTCTCCTGCCCCAGCCAGGACCCCTGTATCCTGCCCCGGCCCCGCTGGCGTCAGGAGGCAGAGCAGGTGGGGTCTCAGGAGCAGCCTCCAGCCCCGAGAGGCTTCCAGAGCCCGGGCTGCGGGGTCTCCACGGGAGGGGCCGGGCCCCACGGCAGTCACCACCCCCAGCACACATCCCCACCCCTGTCCCCCTCAGCCAGCACTCACCCGAGAGCACTGAGCGCACACACATACTCACACACACACCCGCCACCTCCCTCACACACACACTCACACACACACACACACTCACCCAGAGAGCAGTGAGCTCACACACACACCCACACACACACACACACATACACACAGCCACCTCCCTCACACACACACTCACACACACACACACACTCACCCAGAGAGCAGTGAGCTCACACACACACCCACACACACACACACACATACACACAGCCACCTCCCTCACACACACACTCACACACACACACACACTCACCCAGAGAGCAGTGAGCTCACACACACACCCACACACACACACACACATACACACAGCCACCTCCCTCACACACACACTCACACACACACACACACTCACCCAGAGAGCAGTGAGCTCACACACACACCCACACACACACACACACATACACACAGCCACCTCCCTCACACACACACTCACACACACACACACACTCACCCAGAGAGCAGTGAGCTCACACACACACCCACACACACACACACACATACACACAGCCACCTCCCTCACACACACACTCACACACACACACACACACTCACCCGAGAGCACTGAGCGCACACACACACTCACACACACACATACACACAGCCACCTCCCTCACACACACACACTCACACTCACCACCTTCCTCACACACACACACACACTCACACACACACACACTCACACTCACACACACACACACAGCCAGGCTCCATCTCATGTGCCCAGAGCCAGAAGGAGGCCCCGGGCCCAGGAGGAGACACGCACGGGCTGAGCGGAGGCGGTTTATTGGGAGGAGCGGCGGGCGGGCGGCGGTGGGCAGGGCCCAGTGGGGACAGCGGTGCAACGCTCT